ATAATTTATTCTAATATATCGACACACATTATTCAAAATATGCAAAACACCACAGAATTGCCGGGGCTTCTGTGTGGTGCTTGTGGTCCCAGAAGCTCTGTACGCTCAGTGGTCAGACACAGACTCCCTGCCTCACTACAGCACTCAGGAGAGAGCAGCAGGGCAGTGGGCATTGGTGCATGATGGGAAAGATAAGCCCAGGTTCCCAGAAGACCTTTCAGCTCTGTATGTGTGCAGTGTTTGATTGTGCAGTGCAGTAAACAGCACAGAAGAACTCTGCTCATTCTAGTGTCTCCCCAGAGATATGCCAGCTCATAAGTACACTAATGAGCAGGGTGATTACGAGAAGGCTTTCAGGAAAATGTTACTAATGTAAATGTGCATGGCTATCTCTGCTGTGACAGAAAGCATGTGTGTTTTTACACATGGATATGCATGGTTTGTCAGATATATGGAAGTGATTAATAGTGATGTGCTTTTAATATTTTAAATCATTTTTCCTTTCATCTCTTCAATTTGGGTGTTTTGGGGCTAGAAACCGAAAGAGAATGCCAGGGAATTATAAATTAGAGTTAGGAATTGCTGCGATTTTTAAATTGGTTGATTATTTTCACAGCTGAGTTGTTGAACTGCTATATTACATAGATTACATAATACAAGACATTGTGTGCAGAACTGGCTAGTGGAACAACCACCTATGATTTGCTCTCGTATTCAAAGCTACTTGAACAGTTTTAATCTGCTGTAAGTAGGGGAGACCAAGGCAATTGTGCTTCAAAAACATTTTTACATTTTTCTTCAGAACTCCCTATTACAAATGTATCAGCTGTGTTTTAGTTTGTGTGTGTGTGTGTGAGTACCAATTCTCCCTATCACAGTGATTGTCCACTTCACCTCACATGAGAACTAATATCATACTGCTTTAATACTTATTAATAATACTGAACCGTTTTCTCCTTTATTCTGGCACTAATTCTTTTAGCTGTCAGAATTAATTTGTGTACAGTTATGGACCTAGGTAATCATTATTTGAAAAATCTTTTTTACTAAAAGTAATTGTTTAATTAAGTAGAACAGTACTCTTGATAGTTTTAATGAAATGATGTTAATCGTGCATTAAAAACACTTTTAGTTCAGTAATTAATTTTTTCTTTCAGAACTAGTGTTGTTGCATTTTCCCCGACTCTATGGTAGCTACAGTGTTTGCAAGATTTAACCAACAACCTATCGGTAAAGAAGACGCATGTTTAAACTCAAAGGCATCAAACATTAGACAGCAGAAAAAATACTGGGCATCAGATTTGAATAAAAAGTGACAAGATTCTTTATCTCAGGCTGAGAGAGAACACTACTGAATACAGCATATGCTGAAAAGTGTCATCACTGTTACTGAAGAAATCCTGTGTGTTACACTTGGCCCTGGTCACCCCGGCTCAGAATATATACGTTCACACATATAGACAGTTGCGGTATTACCATACATTTTGTTTTAGGGTTGTGTAGTTAAGGTGTTAATCAAATGCATTAACCTGCCTATCTTTCTCTCTTTCACATGAAGCATTGGAAAGTCTGATTCATTTCAGTGATATGGTTAGTGGGACTCTTCATTTAAATGAACCAGTTCAGAAAACAATTAATTTTAAACCACTCAAATTGCCTACACATCAATTTACTTTCTTTTAAAAAAACTTTCTTTTTTGTTTTGTTTTTTATAAAAATGTGGATAAATTATGGTGTTTTCTTGTTTTATGGGCAGTGGACTGGATTCAAATTGCTTACTTAGTGCTCTTAATGCATATAAAATAAATTATCTGATGGTTATCTAAACCGATATTAATTGTTGTTAGCTGACTGAATGTTCACTGTAATTGAACTCCAGTACTTTAAATTATAAGCTGCAGTTTCACATTAGCTCCCACTGCAGTATTTATTCATATATTTACCTTGTTCAGCATGCATGAAGGGTGGACATGTTATTATTTTGTCCATTAGCTCATCACATATCATCTATTCAGACAAATAACCCACAGGGATTTCTGATTCAATTTTGAACTGCTGCAAGACCGTTTCATGCACCTTATCAAGGGACTTATTTGTGTAGATTGCCTTCCAGAAAAAAATAGTCTAATTTTAAAGCAACCGGGATGAATCAAATGCTATGACAAACCATTTTGGGAATAACAAGAGGGGAGGATTTATCACTAAATAACCAGAAGCTGAGCAATTATCATGTCATGCATGAGCTGGCCGCCCATGAAACCACAGTGTCTGATGTGCAGAGAGCACTCTCGAGTCCCACAGCGCAGGTGCACAGTGTGAATTCGCTAGTTTTTCCTCTGATGGCCTCAACTGGTGATGGCAAACTCAGGGAATGGGATCTGGGTAGTTGTCTTTATTCATTTCTTTGTACGATATCTGCCCGCGTTAGATTTTGTGACATTTGTAAAAGTTTGTCTTTACAGCAAAGCCCGTTGTGGGCAGAGGAAATCATTATTTCCCTGCAGACTTAATTAGGCTGGTTGGTGGGGGTCGTCGCCCACGTGCTCTGGGTTTCCGTTCTGTTTCAATAACCTGTCAATAGAAAGCAAAAGAATAAAGTACGCATTGTGGGTGCTATGCTTCAGTACTGTCTCTGCAGGCATTCTGTACCTTTGATTTAATAAACTCATCAATGATCACTTCTAAAATGAAGCTGATTGCTAATAGCGCTTCTGAATCCCAGAGCATTGATTGCAATGTTCATTAATTCACCGAGCACTTCCGCCACCCCCCTTGAGATCATGTGTTTATTATACAGGATTCCCCCCCCCCCTTTTAATATAGTCCTGGGCAATGATTATTGCATGTTCCGCCAGTCATCGCCTGCGGACGGGCTCAATATGGCAGATTTTATGAGCACCTATATTAAAGCTGTAGTGGTGAGAGATCAGTCCATAAGTAGCCCTGGGTCACACAGTAAACACTGCTGATTGCTAAACGACTGGCCAGTCAGCAGCAGTATACCAGTCAGGTTTTAAACGCCACTCTGGAGAAAAATGAGACTAATAATCTACCCAACAGAATCCTCCGTTTTAACAACAAAATGTGCAGATCAATGGTCATTTGATCGATGCTTCTCAGATGATTTATACTGAGTCATAAAACCGCCCGTTTCTATGGACACTTGAACAAGAGGATATGAAAAATCCAGTCGGTTGCTGTCTGAGGGCTAGGATAAGGCATTTGGCGCTGTTATTGTATTGTTTATTGTGCAAAGCAGTTGCTTTTGGCTACCGTGTGACTCCACGTAATGGAGTCATCCATCGCAGCTTTCTCAACCGAACGAAGCATCTTTGTTCTCTTTTTCTCCTTTCAACAATTTTCTAATCCATCATCGTCTTCTGCACCAGTGACCTGAGATTTATCCATCAATACATGAGAACAACAGATTGATTTGACCTTTCCTGTGTTACTGCAGGTGTCTGGTGCTATTTGGATTGCCTTGTTTGGACCAGGATGCATGCTTGCACTGCCTCCTCTGCTGGCAGCGGCAGACTACAGCGAATGTCTTTGAATGTCTCTACTTTATTTCATCTTGTGGCAGATGTCTCGGAGATTATGTGTGTGCAGTGCATTGTTTTCTGCTTATGGACATGGTTGGTGGCGGTATGACTGTGTAAACATGTACCAGGTGCCGCAGGCCTTGGTTTTGTGTTCAGAGTGACTGCTAACAGCAGAGCAGATGTTGATGTCCATGTTAAAGTCAAGCAAGCGAGGAAGGGTCAGAGGAACCAGATTCTTCAGACTAGCCCTATTCTGGTTTAGATTAAAAGGTGCAGACTGTCTTTAATAAACAGCAGTCCTGTGTGATATGTGATGTATCACTGCCGTTTAAACAGAGAACAACATGAAGGTGCTAATGCAGGCTATTTAGGTTTGACCAGCATCCTGATTCATTATGCTTGAGTCTTGATTATGTTCATAAATAGCACTAATTAAATATATCAAATAGCAAATGCATTATGGTCCCCTTCTTGTTAAGTGCTACATATATTCTGTGATAAAGCGGGCATACATATATGTATGATTTATCCTGCTTAGTTTAAAAGAACAATCAGAGCAAACTGTTTCTCTACAATGAATCAGAATTCCCAAAGCTTCTTATAAGAGGGCGAGCGGGCATTGTTTCAGCTCATTTGATTATTGCCTTTGTAGAAATTATGGTGCAATACTATATTAGAATAAATAGTTATGTAGCTCAGGATTTTTCAAACAGGGGTCTCAGTCATATGTAATTGTATTTAGTAAATATTAGACACATTACACATGACTATTGTATGAAATAATTATAATTTTCTTGTTATGGTTCATTTTATTTATTAATGTTATGGTATTGTCAGCCATAGCTGTAAGAACTTAATACATCTAGTACTTATATGAGTACATGAGTAAATGTACATATGAGTAAAAAATTATTTTATTATACATATCATATTTTACACATGTGTATATATATATATATATATATATATATATATATATAATATTTGCTAATAATATGTATATATGATGTGTAATTCTATAAATTTTTGCAGTAAAAGCTGACTAGTTTTTATAAACGGTCCCTTGCAGCTGGAGTGGCATAAAAAAAGGTTTGAAAAATCCATGTTGTAGCTTATTACATGAGGTTTATTATCTCTGATGGCCTGTATCATTAAAACCTCATACCCTATATAAGCTCTATAATAGATTCTAGAATATTTTCTGGTCCTCACATGGGCTCATTTGAAATCAGTGGAGTGATCGTGAAACCATCGTACTTGAACGTGTGAGTCAATTAACACCATTCGTGCCATAATATTGAGAAATCACTCAGATGTAATTTTATCACTGGAATCGACATTATCGAAATGGATGGATTATTAGTGTTTGATTCATTGAATTAAATGTATTTAATCTTGATTAATCTCTTTCTGTCCCACCTCATCTTTCTTGCCCTCCTGTGTCTCTTTCAAATGCAGTTGCCCCCACAACCTCTACCGTACGTTCGGAGTTCTTCAAGCCATGCCAAGACAGTCAGGAGATGGCCTTCTGTTTGAATGAGGGAGAGTGCTTCATCATCGAAACAGTGGCAGGTGTACTGCAGGACTGCAGGTGAGTCTGTGTGTGTGTGTGTGTGTGTGTGTGTGTGTGTGTGTGTGTGTGTGTGTGTGAGTGTGTGTGTGTGTCAGATTAAAGTGGTTTTTCATCTTTATCATTTCTTCAATGACAACGACAAACTCCAGGATCTGTTTTTTATGGTTCTTTTAGAGTAGCTATTACATTTTTGTTACTAATACAAATGCACAGAAAACAAAGGCTGTGGTGACTGTCTGCACTGGATTGGCGTATGCTGAAAATCACTAAAATACAGTGCAAATTACTCCAATGATGTGAGATGAAAGGAGGAGTCATGCTGAACGATGTGGTCTATTTTAGAAATCTTGGCACATGCAATGTTGTTTTAAAAGCCAGCATTTCAAGGGTATAATTAGACCGCTGATCCGCCATGTTGGAATGGCTGAACGACTTAACCTGAAGAGTTTGATGCATCCAACTCGTTCAAAGATAAGTGGCTTTGCTTGAAACAAATAATTGCAGGTTTTTGTGCTGTGAGATACTGTTGTTTAGCACAGAATGTTGCTGCAAATAAAATAGTCTGTCATTAATGAGTATACGGTCTGAACTATTGAATGGTTTAAAGTAGTGCTGTCATCGTTAACGCGTTAACGCATGCAATTAATTTTACAATCCTTAACGCAAATTTACTGAAGCACAATTTCTATTCTAACTCTTTAACCCAATTTTGCTACTCTGCTTGCGATTAGATCATTTTAAGCTGCTAAACTCCGGGAAAGTTATCAGTCCAATGATCCAGTAAGCGAATGCACTCAAACAATCCGTCCAAAACAGCGCTAATATAAAGGAAACCAGGCTGATTACATCAGAGATTGCAGAAAGAACAGAGACTCGCGTTGCGTTTTAAGTGAATTATTCATTCCAGTGTGTTTCGCTTTAAAACACGAGCTCTGTCATATTCTGTGATTGTCTCTGAAGAGCGCGAGCCCTCACACGTCGCGCTACGTGAAGTACAGACTGAGCGGATTGTCAACACATCCCACCGCTGCATGGCAAGATGAGACGCAAACTATGTTTATGCACTCAAACAATCCGTCCAAATCCGTCCAAAACAGCGCTAATATAAAGGAAACCAGGCTGATTACATCAGAGATTGCAGAAAGAACAGAGACTCGCGTTGCGTTTTAAGTGAATTATTCATTCCAGTGTGTTTCGCTTTAAAACACGAGCTCTGTCATATTCTGTGATTGTCTCTGAAGAGCGCGAGCCCTCACACGTCGCGCTACGTGAAGTACAGACTGAGCGGATTGTCAACACATCCCACCGCTGCATGGCAAGATGAGACGCAAACTATGTTTTCTCGACTGGATAACCAGTCTCGCTAGTAAAGTTTTGATGGATGAGGACTGCAATCAAGGTAAAGACGATTGCGGTGGCGTACAGGAGTCGTACAGTACAGTAAGCACGCGAGTCCGTTATAATAATGTGTGTATGAGTGCTCTTGACGCACTGATCACACATTGTATTTATGCACAGGCACAGACATTTCCATACATTCACGTTGTTTCCACACACATTCACGATAATGTTTTGATTTGTCATGTTTATGTTGCTGTGTTTAGTTATACGGAATGCATCCGTGCACTATAGTAGATATATGCAGTCAGCAGGCGATTGGTTTTTTCGGCATCTCCATGTGGTCCTGTTCGGTATCGCAACTTGGCTTCTCTAAAATTTAAAAAAGCTCTTTGCTGTTGCACTATACACATGAAAGAAAAAAAATTCAGAATTTTATAGTATACAGTATGTGCTTATTGTGGGATCCTTATATAATTTGGTTCTTTGGTGTCCTTTTGGAGTTTCTAAATGTCCTTATTTGGAAAGACATCTAAATTTATCTTGAGAAAAGCTTGCAAAAAATATAGATTTTTGAGAATCACCCTTCAATCTTTTGGTTTACTTTGCTGGATATAGCAAATAATGACAAAATAAACATTTGAAACAAGATAAATGGTCTATGCTTAATTTCATGAAGTGTGCGATTAATCACAGAAAAAGGATTGAATATTTAAATAATTTAAAATGTTAATCAATTGACATCCCTAGTTTAAAGTTTCTTAGCATAGCATTCCTCAAGGAAAGGGCTGTAAATAATGTTAAGAACTGGTTTCATTTTTAAAATAGTGCTAAAAATGAATGATGTTCTGTTAATAGTTCTTGCATGTGCATGCTTCTACTGGTACCATAATAAATACATGTTTGCGTAGAAGAACAATGTAAAAGCAGTCATGAGTAGAATGCAAAAATGCATTCAGTGCGAATGGCCCCTAAAAGTATTCCTGCAATATGTATGAAATGGTGCCACAGCACAGCTACTAAAGCTACAGCGCAATCAGTGCTATCATTTTGCAAAAGAACATCTCTTATGAGCCGTGCTCAGGCAGTGTTTTCATTTTCTGAATGAATTACTCTATTGAAACAGTTCTTTTTTCCTGAATCAAAGAGGTAGCACAATGCTATTGAGTGGTTTCTTTTCTGTGAATCAAAAACATATAGCTAAGCCAGTGTAGCCCATTTTCTGAACAAATCACTCCGAGTCAGTTCTTTTTAGTGAATCAGAGACATTTAGTGCAGCCAGAATACTCCAATTCCTGAACAAATTATACTGAGTCGGTTCTTTTCTGTGTTATCAAAAACATACAGTACAGCTCAGCAAGTGTAGTCCAATTTCTGAAATGATTTTAATAAATAGATATTTATTAGTGTTAGTAATTAGTGTTACTTACATGGGAGTTCTTTTTCAATATTATTTTATAAAAATAAAAGAATCACATTAACACACTGTTTGTTTGTTTGTTTATTATTGTTGTGTAGTATATTATTGTATTGCATTTAAGGTGCCTCTAAAAAGACAGTGAAAAATGATTAATAAGTCCAGACGTATTTATTTATGTATCACTTTGTACATTACAGATTGTTTCAAAGCAGCTTCACATTAATATACAATGCTGTGAAAAAGCATTTTTTTAGTTTTTGCATATTTGTCACACTTAAAAGATTCAGATAATCGAACAAATGTTAATATTACACAAAATATAATGCAAGTAAATATAAAATGCAGTTTTTATATTGATGATTTCATTTAATAAGGGAAAAAAGCTGTCCAAACCTACCTGGCCCTACGTGAAAAATGAATAGCCCCCTCCTGTTAAATCATGAAAGAACTGTGATTAACCACATTATTTTAGAAAGCGTAGTTAAATTTCACTAGTCACACCCAGGCCTGATTACTGCCAGACCTGTTGAATCACTTAAATAGAACCTGTCTGACAAATTGAAACATGCTTAAAATGCAACACACCATGCCGTGATCTAAAGAGATTCAAGAACAGATGAGAAACAAAATAGTTGACATGTATCAGTCTGGAAAGGGTTACAAAGCCATTTCTAAGGGACTCCAGCGAACCACGGTGAGAGCTATTACCCACAAAGGGAGAAAACTTGGAACAGTGGTGAACCTTCCCAGGATTGGCCGGCCTACTAAAATTACTCCAAGAGTGCAACGACGACTCATCCAGGAGGTCATAAAAGAACGCAGAACAACATCTAAATAACTGCAGGCTTCACTTGCCTCAATTAAGCTCAGTGTTCATGATTCAACAATAAGAAAGAGACTGGGCAAAAACAGCATCCATGGGAGAGTTCCAAGGCAAAAAGAACACAAAGGCTCGTCTCACATTTGACAAAATATATCTTGATTATCCCCAAGACTTTTGGGCAAATATTCTGTGGACTGATGAGACAAAAGTTTAACTTGTTGGAAGGTGTGCGTCCCATTACATGTGGCGTAAAACCAACACCGCATTTCATAAAAAGAACATCATACCAACAGTCAAACATGGTGGTGGTAGTGTGATGATCTGGGGCTGCTTTGCAGCTTCAGGACCTGGACAACTTGCCTTAATTGATGGAACCATGAATTCTGCTCTCCACCAGAAAATCCGGAAGGAGAGTGTCCGGCCGCCAGTTTGTGACCTCAAGCTCAAGCGCACTTGGGTTATGCAGCAGGACAATGATCCCAAACACACCAGCAAGTCCAACTCTGAATGGCTCAAGAAAAACAAAATCAAGTATTTGGAGTGGCCAAGGCAGACTTAAAGGGTTAGTTCACCCAAAAATGAAAATTCTGTCATTAATTACTCACCCTCATCTCGTTCTAAACCCGTAAGACCTCCGTTCATCTTCGGAACACAAATTAAGATATTTTTTATTAATTCTGAGAGCTCTCTGACCCTCCCATAGACAGCAATGTAATTACCACGATCAAGGTCCAGAAACGTAGCAAGGAGATGGGTAAAATAATCCATGTGACATCAGGGGTTCAGCCGTAAATTTACCAAGCTACGAGAATACTTTTTGTTCGCAAAGAAAACAAAAATAACAACTTTATTCAACAATTTGTCTCCTCCGCGTCACCCTGGTGCCATTTTGGACACAACAGCATACGTTTAAACAACATAGAAAACATATCCGCGTGACGCAGCTGACACAGAATAGCATACGCTATTTACTTTCAGTGGATACTCTCCAAAATGGCACCAGGGTGACGCGGAGGAGACTAATCTTTTTCATCATCATTACCATTCTCATTCATTGATAATTTTTAACCCACAAAAGTTATGGACTGCAGCTTTAAATAATTAAATATGGATATAAATATTTAATTATTCAAATCATCTTATTGTTTGACATTGGAACAGTATTGTTTATTTATTTATTTCAAATATTTGTCCCTTAAAGAGTCATTAATATAACCATTAAGAAACCAGAATTGTTAGGAGAAATCAGAAGCAGAATCATATGACAATTCTCATCTCTGGCTGTAAATCTGAGGGTGTTTTGCCATGAGAACTTGCAGATGTTCAGGAATATCCGTTTAGTGTTATGCCCTATCAGTGGTTCTCTTTACTGCTCCCCAAGCCCCTTTTCATCTGACAGACCTGCCTGCCCTCCTCTTCATCACTCAAATGTAATAA